GAGGGGGAGAGGGGATGGGGAGACGGAGAGAGACAGACAGGGAGACAGACAGAGATGGGAAAGACAACATCGAACAGTTAGAACAGCTCCTGCAAACACCCCCCACCACCCTCTTCCTTCTCCTCCTCAGCTTGCTCGCTATTTCCCCTGAAAGCGAACGATGGACGCGGGAGCGAGTTCTGCTGCCACCCGAGCAACGCGATCTGCCCCGTGCCCCCCCACCGTGGGAGAGGCTTCCTGTTCGACATTCCCCTTAGAGAAGAAACCCAGCAGCAGCAGCAGCACGGATAAAACCCTCCCTGCTCCCTCTCCATCTGTCTATCTCCGCGGCCGCCATGGCAGAACCTCCCCAACAAGTTTGGCTAGCGCACTCACTTTCGAGCAAGACGGCGAATATATTCGCGCGCGGCGAGGGGGGATAGCGAGACCGCGACCGGACGCCACTGCCTGAATGATACCGAGTGTGCCGACGACAGCATGACCACCACCATCCCCCCCACCCCCAGTTTACCTGTGCCCGCCTGTGTCGAGGTACAGACGTCTGTAAGCATCCGTGACCGCCTCCTTCACCCCAGCTTCCTTCGACCAGACCAGCGGCAGCATCTGGCGCATTCCCGGCAGCGCCTGGGCGATCCCGAATTCGGAAATGGTCACAAAGAACTGGATGGCTTCCTGGACCACTACGGCAGAGCAAGGTTGGGGTGGGGGGGAAGTGGGGGAGAGCTGGTGAACAGACCTGAGCATCTTTCCCTGCCCCCCACCCAACGAGAAACAGCCCCCCAGGCTTACCCGAGGGGTTCTTGGACGTCAGGAACTTGCTGACGATCTCGATGGCCCCCTCGATCCTGGTGGCGAAGGTCAGGGTGTCCTCCAGGTACTGGACCAGCACCTCCTGCTTGGCCAGCTCGGAGGGTTCAGGGGTCTCCCCGAGAGGGCGCTGCTCGCTGACCTCCGCACCCGACACTGGGGGCTCTGCTCCCGCTCGCGGCTGACCTGGGAAGAGAACCTCAACCCATTAGCCCCGACCCTCTGACGGCGCCCTGCTCCCTCACCCTCCGACGGCGCCCCGCTACCCCCACCCTCCGAAGACGCCCTGCTCCCCCGGCACCGACCATCCGACAGCTCACCTCTGAAACAGGCCTCCACCACCTTCAGCAGGCCAGCTTTGTGTGGACGGGTTTGTCCGCACTTAGCATCCTCCCGGGTCTCGGTTGTAAATGGGGCCTCGTCTGGAAATTGCTCCCACGCATTTAATACCAGTCGGACAGCTGGCCTGCAGGACAGAGAGAGAGAGGAGTGCAGAGAATATACTGGGGAAGGAATGAAGACGGACACAGGACAGGCAGTGCCAGAGAGCAAGACGGAGGGAGATGGATGCGGGGAGTGCACGTGAGAGACAGAGAGCGAGCGACAGACAGACAGACGGCGGGCGAGCAACAGACAGAGGGCGTGCGAGCGAGCGACAGAGCGAGCAACAGACAGAGGGCGTGCGAGCAAGTGACAGACAGACAGAGGGTGTGCGAGCGAGCGACAGACAGACAGAGCAAGAAAGCGAGAGACACCCCAATCCGTTGTCACCGCAGGCCTGGAGCCATCAGATCACCACATTCCTGTGATCATCTCCCCGGGACGGGAATGCGGAGTACGTGCTACAGGGCGGCCGTCTGATGGGGCCGTGGATCCGTGTCCCCCTCTCCCTCCCCGTGTCTGTCCCTCACACGCT